AGAAGTAAACATCAGGGACAGAAAGGAAACATCAGGAACAGGAAGGAAACATCAGGGACAGGAAGGAACATCGGGGACAGAAAGGAACATCGGGGACAGGAAGGAAACATCAGGAACAGGAAGGAAACATCAGGAACAGGAAGGAAACATCAGGAACAGGAAGGAAACATCAGGGACAGGAAGGAACATCGGGGACAGAAAGGAAACACCAGGAACAGGAAGGAAACATCAGGGACAGGAAGGAAACATCAGGAACAGGAAGGAAACATCAGGAACAGGAAGGAAACATCAGGAACGAGAAGTAAACATCAGGGACAGAAAGGAAACATCAGGGACAGGAAGGAACATCAGGGGACAGAAAGGAAACATCAGGAACAGGAAGGAAACATCAGGAACGAGAAGTAAACATCAGGGACAGAAAGGAAACATCAGGAACAGGAAGGAAACATCAGGGACAGGAAGGAACATCGGGGACAGAAAGGAAACATCAGGAACAGGAAGGAAACATCAGGGACAGGAAGGAAACATCAGGAACAGGAAGGAAACATCAGGAACAGGAAGGAAACATCAGGAACGAGAAGGAAACATCAGGAACGGGAAGGAAACATCAGGGACAGCAAGGAACATCGGGGACAGAAAGGAAGCATCAGGAACGGGAAGAAAACATCAGGAATGTGAGAAAATATCAGGAAGGAAACATCAGGGATGTGAGAAAATATCAGGAAGGAAACATCAGGGATAGAAAGGAAACATCGGGAACAGGAAGGAAACATCAAGGGACAGGAAGGAACATCGGGGACAGGAAGGAAACATCAGGAACAGGAAGGAAACATCGGGAACAGGAAGGAAACATCAGGGACAGGGAGGAACATCGGGGACAGAAAGGAAACACCAGGAACAGGAAGGAAACATCAGGGACAGGAAGGAAACATCAGGAACAGGAAGGAAACATCAGGAACAGGAAGGAAACATCAGGAACGAGAAGTAAACATCAGGGACAGAAAGGAAACATCAGGGACAGGAAGGAACATCAGGGGACAGAAAGGAAACATCAGGAACAGGAAGGAAACATCAGGAACGAGAAGTAAACATCAGGGACAGAAAGGAAACATCAGGAACAGGAAGGAAACATCAGGGACAGGAAGGAACATCGGGGACAGAAAGGAAACATCAGGAACAGGAAGGAAACATCAGGGACAGGAAGGAAACATCAGGAACAGGAAGGAAACATCAGGAACAGGAAGGAAACATCAGGAACGAGAAGGAAACATCAGGAACAGGAAGGATACATCAGGGACAGCAAGGAACATCGGGGACAGAAAGGAAGCATCAGGAACGGGAAGAAAACATCAGGAATGTGAGAAAATATCAGGAAGGAAACATCAGGGATGTGAGAAAATATTAGGAAGGAAACATCAGGGATAGAAAGGAAACATCGGGAACAGGAAGGAAACATCAAGGGACAGGAAGGAACATCGGGGACAGGAAGGAAACATCAGGAACAGGAAGGAAACATCAGGGACTGGAAGGAACATCGGGGACAGGCAGGAAACATCAGGAACGGGAAGGAAACATCAGGGATGTGAGAAAATATCAGGAAGAAAACATCAGGAATGTGAGAAAATATCAGGAAGGAAACATCAGGGATAGAAAGGAAACATCGGGAACAGGAAGGAAACATCAAGGGACAGGAAGGAACATCGGGGACAGGAAGGAACATCGGGGACAGGAAGGAAACATCAGGGACTGGAAGGAACATCGGGGACAGGAAGGAAACATCAGGAACGGGAAGGAAACATCAGGGATGTGAGAAAATATCAGGAAGGAAACATCAGGGATGGAAAGGAAACATCGGGAACAGGAAGGAAACATCAGGAAACGGAAAGAAACATCAGGAACAGGAAGGAAACATCAGGAACAGGAAGGAAACATCAGGAATGGGAAGGAAACACCAGGAAGAGGAAGGAAACATCAGGGACAGGAAGGAAACATCAGGAACAGGAAGGGAACATCAGGAACAAGAAAGAAACGGAAATAAACATCAGGAACAGGAAGGAAACATCTGGAACAGGAAGGAATCATCAGGAAGAAGAAGAAAACATCAGGAACAGGAAGGAAACATCAGGAACAGGAAGGAAACATCAGGAATGGGAAGGAAACATCAGGAAGAGGAAGGAAACATCAGGGATGGGACGGAAACATCTGAAACAGGAAGGAAACATCAGGGACAGAAAGGAAACATCAAGAATGTAAGCAAATATCAGGAAGGAAACATCTGAAATAGGAAGGAAACATCAGGGACAGAAAGGAAACATCAGGGACAGAAAGGAAACATCAGGGAGAGGAAGGAAACATCAGGGCAGGAAGGAAACATCAGGGATGGGAAGGAAACATCAGGAAAGGGAAGGAAACATTAGGAAAGGGAAGGAAACATCAGGAATAGGAAGGAAACATCAGAAAACTGAAAGAAACATCAGGAACAGGAAGGAAACTTCAGGGACAGGAAGGAAACATCAGGAACAGGAAGGAAACATCAGGAACAAGAAGGAAACATCAGGAACAGGAAGGGAACATCAGGAACAAGAAAGAAACCGAAATAAACATCAGGAACAGGAAGGAATCATCAGGAAGAAGAAGGAAACATCAGGAACAGGAAGGAAACATCAGGAACAGGAAGAAAACATCAGGAATGGGAAGGAAACATCAGGAACAGGAAGGAAACATCAGGAACAGGAAGGAAACATCAGGAACAGGAAGGAAACATCAGGAAACGGAAAGAAACATCAGGAACAGGAAGGAAACATCAGGAACGGGAAGGAAACATCAGGAATGGGAAGGAAACATCAGGAACAGGAAGGAAACATCAGGAAACGGAAAGAAACATCAGGAACAGGAAGGAAACATCAGGAACAGGAAGGAAACATCAGGAATGGGAAGGAAACATCAGGAACAGGAAGGAAACATCAGGAAACGGAAAGAAACATCAGGAACAGGAAGGAAACATCAGGAACAGGAAGGAAACATCAGGAACAGGAAGGAAACTTCAGGAATGGGAAGGAAACAAGGAAATCAAGTTACCTCTGTGAACATTTGACATTTCCTTCTGGTAAAATCAGCATTTTATTTACATTTAGTATTTACAAAATCTTAAAATTCCTGTTTTGCTGCAAGTCTAAAACGTGTCAGATGGATCTGGAGATTTATGTCTGGATAATTCTCAGTTGGACAACTAGCTAACCAGGGAACCAGCCGGAGCAGCAGTGTGACGCTGCAGGTCAGAGGTGTAACTCTGATGAATGTTATTAATCAGCTGATCCTGGAGCCACCACCTCCTCCTCCTCCATCACTTTTACCGTCGCCTCCCGTTTGCTGCTCGTCACACTCAGGCGGTTTAATACGTCACCCTAATGTAAGCCGTCGTCTGGGAGGAGCTTCAGGAGTAGGAAATGATGAATGAGCTGCACCAGTGGGTCAGAGCCCCCCAAGGCGCTTTACACAACAGTCGTTCAGTAATCGGAGGTTTGCAGGTTCAATCTTGGCTCCCTATAGGGAATTCTGTCCCAGGACAGCTGTGGCTACGATGTAGCTCATCACCACCAGGGTATGAATGGATGAATGGCTGCTCTGGCTCAGAAAGGTGCTACACAAGAGCAGGTTTATGAGGTTCCTTCCCCAGCAAAGTGAGCTGGGGTTACCATGGTGACCACCAGATTTAACTCCTCACCTGTCTGTTCTGGGCCAGTCTCTCTATGTCCACATCCTGGACCACAGCTCTGGGCTTCCTGGACTTGTGCTCCTTCTGAAAGAGGAGGAGCACAGAGCAGATAGGAGGCGTGTCCTCGGAGGAGTCTGGGTTCGGATTAAACTCAGACCTGTTTAGAACTATAACATGAACAGGAAGTAATGGTTCTGGACCGGACTCACCTTCTTACTGCTGATGAATGGATCCTCGTTGGAAGCATCAGCAGCCAGCGGAAGACTGGATCCAGTCTCGGTATTCCCTCCAGGATCTACCTTCCTGGTGGGTTTGGTTTTAGGTCTGATCTCCAGTTTAGGAGGGGCGATGATGTCAGGTTTGACCTTTGACACCGGGCTGAGGCTGGAGACGTAGGTGATTCTGGGCTGAGGGCCCCCGCTGGTGCTGCGTGAGGGGTTAGGTCGACTGAAGCGAGGGATGATGGGAGGAGGAAGAGGACGAGATGCAGCTGATGAAGAAGAAGGTGATTCCCTTCCAAAGACGGGTAAGGTTATCCTCCCCCTCTCCCCCCTCCTCCTCCTGCCCTGCTGCTCCTGGTTCAGAACTCGCAGCCGAGCGACATTGATGTGGTGGGACGGATTTTTGTTCCTGAAAATTGGAACCATTGGAGGGGGGATGGGAGGAATCTGACTAGGCGGGGGGACTGAGAGGGAGGAAGCAGGCTGGAAGGGGGAGGAAGTGGAAAAGGAGGAGGAGAAAAGGTCCGTCTGACTGGATCTTAGCAGGTTTTCAGAATTCTTCTGCAGAAGCAGGGGGGTCCGGGAGGAAGGCTGGGAGTCAGAGGAGGTGCTGGGAGGCTGGGGAAGAGGAGGAGGGGCAGGGAGCTGGGTGAGGATGGGTCTGATGAAAATGGAGGAGACCAGGTTGATCTGCTCACTGTTCAGCACCTGAGGAGAAGGAGGAGACTTCATCTCATCAGCTTCACTCCAGTGGCCACTAGTGATGCACTGATATGAGAGTTTGGGGCTGATACCGATGCCGTTATCACTGCCGATACCGATGTTATTATCACTGCTGATACCGATGTTATTATCACTGCCGATACCAATGTTATTATCACAGCCGATACCGATGTTATTATCACTGCAGATACCGATGTTATTATCACAGCTGATACCGATGTTATTATCACTGCCGATACCGATGTTATTATCACTGCAGATACCGATGTTATTATCACAGCTGATACCGATGTTATTATCACTGCCGATACCGATGTTATTATCACTGCAGATACCGATGTTATTATCACAGCTGATACAATGTTATTATCACTGCAGATACCGATGTTATTATCACTGCAGATACCGATGTTATTATCACAGCTGATACAATGTTATTATCACAGCTGATACCGATGTTATTATCACTGCCGATACCAATGTTATTATCACAGCTGATACCGATGTTATTATCACTGCCAATACCAATGTTATCACAGCTGATACAATGTTATTATCACTGCCGATACCGATGTTATTATCACTGCCGATACCGATGTTATTATCACTGCCGATACCGATGTTATTATCACTGCTGATACCGATGTTATTATCACTGCAGATACCGATGTTATTATCACTGCCGATACCGATGTCATTATCACTGCCGATACCGATGTTATTATCACTGCAGATACCGATGTCATTATCACTGCAGATACCGATGTTATTATCACAGCTGATACAATGTTATCATCACTGCCGATACCGATGTTATTATCACTGCAGATACCGATGTTATTATCACTGCAGATACCAATGTTATTATCACTGCAGATACCGATGTTATTATCACTGCAGATACCAATGTTATTATCACTGCAGATACCAATGTTATTATCACTGCCGATACCGATGTTATTATCACTGCCGATACCGATGTTATTATCACTGCAGATACCGATGTTATTATCACAGCTGATACCGATGTTATTATCACTGCCGATACCGATGTTATTATCACTGCAGATACCGATGTTATTATCACAGCTGATACCGATGTTATTATCACTGCCGATACCGATGTTATTATCACTGCAGATACCGATGTTATTATCACAGCTGATACAATGTTATTATCACTGCAGATACCGATGTTATTATCACTGCAGATACCGATGTTATTATCACAGCTGATACAATGTTATTATCACAGCTGATACCGATGTTATTATCACTGCCGATACCAATGTTATTATCACAGCTGATACCGATGTTATTATCACTGCCAATACCAATGTTATCACAGCTGATATAATGTTATTATCACTGCCGATACCGATGTTATTATCACTGCCGATACCGATGTTATTATCACTGCCGATACCGATGTTATTATCACTGCTGATACCGATGTTATTATCACTGCAGATACCGATGTTATTATCACTGCCGATACCGATGTTATTATCACTGCCGATACCGATGTTATTATCACTGCAGATACCGATGTCATTATCACTGCAGATACCGATGTTATTATCACAGCTGATACAATGTTATCATCACTGCCGATACCGATGTTATTATCACTGCAGATACCGATGTTATTATCACTGCAGATACCAATGTTATTATCACTGCAGATACCGATGTTATTATCACAGCTGATACAATGTTATCATCACTGCCGATACCGATGTTATTATCACTGCAGATACCGATGTTATTATCACTGCAGATACCAATGTTATTATCGATGTTATTATCACTGCCGATACCGATGTTATTATCACTGCAGATACCGATGTTATTATCACAGCTGATACCGATGTTATTATCACTGCCGATACCGATGTTATTATCACTGCAGATACCGATGTTATTATCACAGCTGATACAATGTTATTATCACTGCAGATACCGATGTTATTATCACTGCAGATACCGATGTTATTATCACAGCTGATACAATGTTATTATCACAGCTGATACCGATGTTATTATCACTGCCGATACCAATGTTATTATCACAGCTGATACCGATGTTATTATCACTGCCAATACCAATGTTATCACAGCTGATACAATGTTATTATCACTGCCGATACCGATGTTATTATCACTGCCGATACCGATGTTATTATCACTGCCGATACCGATGTTATTATCACTGCTGATACCGATGTTATTATCACTGCAGATACCGATGTTATTATCACTGCCGATACCGATGTCATTATCACTGCCGATACCGATGTTATTATCACTGCAGATACCGATGTCATTATCACTGCAGATACCGATGTTATTATCACAGCTGATACAATGTTATCATCACTGCCGATACCGATGTTATTATCACTGCAGATACCGATGTTATTATCACTGCAGATACCAATGTTATTATCACTGCAGATACCGATGTTATTATCACTGCAGATACCAATGTTATTATCACTGCAGATACCAATGTTATTATCACTGCCGATACCGATGTTATTATCACTGCCGATACCGATGTTATTATCACTGCAGATACCGATGTTATTATCACAGCTGATACCGATGTTATTATCACTGCCGATACCGATGTTATTATCACTGCAGATACCGATGTTATTATCACAGCTGATACCGATGTTATTATCACTGCCGATACCGATGTTATTATCACTGCAGATACCGATGTTATTATCACAGCTGATACAATGTTATTATCACTGCAGATACCGATGTTATTATCACTGCAGATACCGATGTTATTATCACAGCTGATACAATGTTATTATCACAGCTGATACCGATGTTATTATCACTGCCGATACCAATGTTATTATCACAGCTGATACCGATGTTATTATCACTGCCAATACCAATGTTATCACAGCTGATATAATGTTATTATCACTGCCGATACCGATGTTATTATCACTGCCGATACCGATGTTATTATCACTGCCGATACCGATGTTATTATCACTGCTGATACCGATGTTATTATCACTGCAGATACCGATGTTATTATCACTGCCGATACCGATGTTATTATCACTGCCGATACCGATGTTATTATCACTGCAGATACCGATGTCATTATCACTGCAGATACCGATGTTATTATCACAGCTGATACAATGTTATCATCACTGCCGATACCGATGTTATTATCACTGCAGATACCGATGTTATTATCACTGCAGATACCAATGTTATTATCACTGCAGATACCGATGTTATTATCACTGCAGATACCAATGTTATTATCACTGCAGATACCAATGTTATTATCACTGCCGATACCGATGTTATTATCACTGCCGATACCGATGTCATTATCACTGCCCATACCGATGTTGTTATCACTGCCGATACCGATGTCATTATCACTGCAGATACCGATGTTATTATCACAGCTGATACAATGTTATCATCACTGCCGATACCGATGTTATTATCACTGCAGATACCGATGTTATTATCACTGCAGATACCAATGTTATTATCACTGCAGATACCGATGTTAACGTCACTGTTATGGCCGACAACCGATATTTGCCGATAACAATATTAATATCACTGCTGACACCGATATCCGATATTTATGCTTCTGAGATGATTACAATCACACTGTCACATGACTAAACAATCCCCCCCCCCCCCCCCCCCCCCCCGAAACAGATAACTAAAAGGAAACAAGATGGAAAAACTATCGGTTGTTAATACCAGTTTTATTTTAAATGACTAACATCGGCTGATACCGATATTGATGCCGATATATTTTGCATCCCTAGCAGCCACTATATCCATCAGAGTGGTTATACTGATTATTACGGTAATAATAAAGTAGCTGATTAGGAGTAAGTGGGCGGAGCTATAACAGGCGCATCACATCTCTCACCCATAAACTGGATTTATCGTCTGAGCGTTTTAAAGCTACTGTCTGACCCTGCTGAGGAACCCAGTTCTGCTGAACGTCATAAATATTTCAGACTCATCTGGGTTCGTCTTTGCTGCACCCTCCTCAGCTCCAAGGATGAAGAACAACTTTAATTTCCTCTGCAGCCTTTGGAGGAGGCTCGGAGCAGCTGAGAACGTTTATAACTTCAGCGAGTGGGGCGAGCTTCTGCATAAACATCAGAGCCATTAGAGTAAAGCGTGATTAAAGCAGCGTAATAGACGCGGGACGAGGAGGTGGAGGCTCCTGCTGAGGAGCAGATGCTTTATATCCAAAGTGACCTCTGAAGAGCCACAAACACCAGCAGCTATCCTCCTCAGAGCCAGAAGAGCCGTCCCTCCTGTGCAGCGTCTCGGGTCGTTAAACTGTCCAAAGGAAACATTCAAATAATCTCCTCCTCTCTGGTTTCACCTCCGGGGGGGGGGGGGTGCAGATCAAAGGATTTCACCTCTGAAGTTTTGTTGTTTATTTACAACCAGAGAGCATCTTTAACCTCATGTTGAAAGAGTGAAGGAATGGATGCTGGGTGCTATTGGCCCGAGTGTGTGCGTGCGTGCATATGCATGCATGCATGTGTGTGTGTGTGCATGTGTGTTTGTGCGTGCATGCATGTGTGTGTGTGTGTGTGTGTGCGTGTGTGTGTGCGTGCGTGCGTGCATGCATGTGCGTGTGTGTGCGTGCGTGCATGCATGTGTGTGTGTGCATGTGTGTTTGTGCGTGCGTGCGTGCATGCATGTGTGTGCGTGTGTGCGCGCATGCATGTGTGTGTGTGTGTGTGCATGCGTGCGTGTGTGTGTGCGTGCGTGCGTGCATGCATGTGCGTGTGTGTGTGTGTGCGTGCGTGCGTGCATGCATGTGCGTGTGTGTGCGTGCGTGCGTGCGTGCGTGCATGCATGTGTGTGTGTTACCTGGATGGTTGCAGTGGTGTTTAAGTTGACCGTGGTGTAACGGGGGTTACTGGTCAGACGGGCCGGGAAGCCACAGACAGTCTGCAGCCGGTCCTTGATGTCAGACAGGAAGGAGCCCAGCGCCCCCTGCAGGTCGACCCGAGCACAGAGCTGGACGGGCTGCAGCCGGACGCAGCTCAGAGGATATCTGCTCAGAACCGAGGTCAGGGGAACGTCCAGGAGGTTCTGGTGGCTAACGCTCATGCTAACCCTGACCCGAGGGGGTCGCATTTCTGAGGATACGTGAAGAGTTTCTGTCCCAGAGGTCTGAAGTAAACGCTGCAGTAAACCACCTGACCTTCAGCCAGGTCAGGAAGCCTGTAACCATACTGGGAAACACACAGACCAGTCAGACCTAACTGGGAACACAGCTCTGCTGCCTGAGGGATAAAAAATAAACTGTCTTCTTGTTTTACCTGGAAACGTTTTAAAGATCAAGCTAAAACCTCCAAACTGAGTTTGTTCTCCAAATAAATGAAAACATAAGTGCTCCATGCTAGAACTACTGCAGCTATTGGATGACCTGTTGCCATGACAACCAGATCTGGTTAAAGTGTAATCTGAGTCTGTTGCTAACATGTGTTCCTGCTGATGCAGGGTGGGAGGGGGGTTCTACCAGACGGTTCCAGTGGTTCTGCAGGTCCACGTAGGACTCGAACGGCCCGTCTCGGGGCAGCTGGCGGCTGATGGAGACAATCTGACCTTTCTTCATGCTGCAGGAAACAAAACAACCTGAAGCAGCCAGATGGGCTAAAGATGGAGCTGCAGCCCCCCCTACTGGTCACAGTTATTATCATTTTACTTAGTATTGAGTCTCACTGTGATGAATGAGTTCATCTGGAGGTAAACAAATGAAATCATAAGGTGAATAAATACATAAATGAGTAAAACCAGAGGCCGTTAAAGCAGCTTTCCAGAGTTTTCTACTTTCAGAAATTAGGTATGATTTGTCAGAAATCTGTAAAAGTGATGATGTCATCACGTACTGTGATATAATGTAAGCAATATGTCTTTTTCTTGTGTTTGCTACGCACGCCCCCTGCCTGCAGAGCTCCGTGCAATAGGAAACTGAGCGCCGACCAGAACTAACCAATAGCTTCAACTTTAACCCTCTGGAGGCAGGCGTTGCAGATTAGCAACGTTAAAACCTAACTACCTGGTTACTCCACATACGTATTTATGAGCATTTTTAACTCAGAAGTTCCCCTGAAGGACTTAGTTGTTCGTCCTTTTAACAAAACTTATTTAAAGCCTGAGAGGGTTACGGAGTACCTCGGCTGATGCAGAGTTGATGAACTTTTCAGACAAGAAAGTCTCTAAAATATAAATATATGAGAACACAACGTGACACGAGAATAATACTCGTAAAACAGCGTGTTTCAGCTGTTTGTCGCTACAGAAGCACGTTTATAAACAGAAACGTGAAGTCGCACATCTTAAAAACAACGGAAGGAGTGTGATATGCTTGTCAGCCACTAGATGGTGCCATCGGATAAGAGAAAAACTCTGGAAAGACGCTTTAACTAGGTCCTGTAAACAGTTCATCTGAACAGCTTGTCAAACAGCTCTGGTTCTGACATGTGATTGGCTAATGAATACGTCCAACAGGTGGCGCCATCTCACCTGGGCAGAACATGACACCAGATGGCTCTCCCAGTGGAGGAGGGGTTGATGACGGAGTCTGAGTCACTGTAGAACCTCCTGAGGACTATCGGGGGCAGCTCAAAGTCCTCCAGCTGAGACAAACACAAAGGTTCACTTCCTGCTGGGCGTCTGATGTTACTCAGATGTTGATGGTGCCTTACCGTGATTGGAGGAAGATAAACACGGTTTGTTTCCAGGCTGAGACACAGCCGACCCTCGCTGGTGCTCATCTCCATGCCTGATGCGCAAACATGATGACACACACACACACACACACACACACACACACACACACACAAACAGCTGTATCATAGTAAGGACCATCCTTTGAATTCCATTCATTTTTGTGACCGTGTTAGGCCTAACCCATCCCCCACCCCTAACCATAACCAGTGGGGATCTAGTCCTAACCTAAACTAAAACCAGCTGGTCAGTTTTAAAAAACATGAGGACCACAAAAATGTCCTCACATTGTAGGGAAAATAGTGAAAATGGTTCTCAGTATGTAGTGAGTACAAGTTCACACACACACACACTTACTGATGGCGTTGAACCTCCCTCTCTCAGTCAGGAAGTCGGTTCCTAAACACAGGAAGCAGGAAGTGATCGGTAAACAGGAAGTGACAGCGTTCTGGTACACATTTCTGAGGCCCAGTTCCAGCACTCACACTTCCACCCTTGCACCCTTTAACTGCACGTTCCTGGCCAGCGGTGCGAGTACGTAGGGTGTCCCAAATGTCAAGTGTGGAAGATGGCCACGCCCCTTTTGTAGTGCTTGATCAGCACTGTTCCCAATTCCACGTCGATGTGAACTTGGGTGAAGGGTATTACCCACAATCCATTGCTGTGTGGGAACTTTTAGAAGAAGACTGAGCAATGGCTCAAGTGTCTTTTCTGAAAATACGTATTTTCAAACAAAAGAAATACGTTTTAGGACGATTCATGATATTTATTCATGCTCTGGATGTTTTAGACTCAGATTTCATGTGGATTAGCCTGGAAAACCGCTCCATGGACGGTTCTCGTTCGGGGGCGGGTTCTACCTTTATCTTTTAAATGATCTCCGCATGCTACTGGCCAATGAACAACATGAAGTACTCACCAGAACGGATGTCGGTAAATGAGGTGATCCGCTGTTGAAGACAGGGTTCTCCTGTCATGACCTTTGACCTTTACTCTGCTAACTGAGGCCTGAAGCGTAGACACTTCTCTGGACACTAGACTGATGTAAATGACCTCTGACCTTTCCCATA